GTAAGGGTGTGTTCCAGGAATGGTTTTAGTTTAACTGGAGACATCATCCTAAAACTAGGTGCCGGACATGATCTGATTACAGTTTATTCTATGGACTGGCTGTTTTAAGGGAATGAGATTCAGAGCGTGAGGAGCTGGGATCTGGTTTCAGTCCTGCAGCACACTTGCAGTTCTGCTGATTCACACAAATTCACCCCGAGTCAAAGCAGCCTGTTGGAAGTGTAAACAAAATTATAACACAGTTATTTCATTAATCATTAATGAAAGTCAATAGGTTTTGACACACATAAATTACTATTAGAACTAAGTTTAATTAACTCGGGGGATAACGGGCCTAATTCAGACAGCTTAAGGAATTAATTGAGTGGCCTGGTTTTGACCAGTACGAGTTTTTTTATGAAGAACCTTTAAATGAACTACGTGGATGTTACACATCAACATAAACATATTAAAGTACTATTGTGTGAGTGAATGATGTAGGCCCAAAGTCCTGACTCTAAGTAACTTGATCACATGTAATGTTATTACATAAGTACAAAAACTTAAATTGGAATCTGGAGACTACTATCTGTATGTTCACAGATTGCTCTGACTTAGTGGGTCGGTATGTATATTTAACAAGCTCATACTATTTACAGACTATTTATACTATTTATAATCATCTTTCTTTATAATATAAAAGTCTTGTATGTGTCTAATTTTAAGAGAACAAAACGAATGCATAAAATTACAAAATTACATCCAAATAATTTTGACAAAGAAAAACCTAGTTATGCAAGTCTGAAATGACCATAATAATAATATAATAACAGTAATAATAATAATAATAATAATATGATTATGTCTTTAGGACAGTTTTAGCCATTGTGGACAGATACAAATAAACAGGATATTGCAATGCATGCAATATACACATACACAAACCACGCCAGATCATCCACTTAGCCATGTCCAAGTGTGATCATTGCAGGTACCACTGACGATTATTACACGACACCAATCAGATCACATATACTACTGAAATTTGGGATGGATGTAAAAGTATATCAGAAAACATTTGTGGGATGCGTATTTGAAAATCCAAACTGTTTAAGCGATTACTGTAAAGGCTACAAACGTCTGCTGCTGTCATGCAAGCCTTGCAGTGCTTGCAGTAGTACTCTGAGTCAGTGTCTGCCACTGATGACCTACTGTATGTGTAATAAAATATCCTCAGATAAAGGAGGGCCAGTGATGAAGATTGACCAAGGCTTCTATTGATCATCCTCCCATTAGTGACTTTCCATTACAAGCCTGCATATAAGCGTTGTAAAACCCTGACAGACTTTAATGGCCTCTCAGTCAGAGGAAGGCCTCAGTGTTTCACCATGTGCGGCCCTAAAGACAGGACACATGAGCTCAGACAGCCATAGAAGAAGTCTCCTATACACGGGGATGAAATATGCTTATCACTATAATGTATAGCAGTGCAATATGCACTGATTCTGCGCCCTGCAGAGACTTGCCATTGGTGGTGAGGGATGCTCACATCTCTCCAAAAAGCACCTGTTAACAGTAAAAGGGTGAAAGCCAGATACAGTATTTAGCAGAAGTGACTTTTTTAAGTAAATGAGTCATTCATTAGTATGATCTGAGGACATCCTTGCAGTAAAAGTGGCTTCACCGGTCATTTCTAAATATGCAGTGTGTTTCGTTGCACATGCACGCGCATACACGCAAAACATTTCACATACTTGTGTTGAAATGACCAGGTGAGCAGCTCAGCCCTGGTTTCCCTCCGGGTGAGAGCAACAGTGCTCAGTTGATCCCTTCAGGCAAAACAGCCCAGTCCTTCCACATCAGAAGGTCTCCCAAATAGTCCCAGCCCAGCAAAAAAAAATTCAAAAAATAAATAATAAAAATAAATAGATGAAGATGATCACCACGAGCCACAGTCAAGCAAAAATCAGCGGGGCAGTGAAGGACCGAGCTGTGTTCCCCTTATCAATATCACTCGGGGTGCGGCGCACATCATCCCGCATCAACTACAGCAATCCCTGAGATTAAGATCATGTCCGGCCTCAGACTATGACTGCATCCCGGAGAATCGTCAGGGGAGCGGGAAGACTGTCATGTTTTCCCTCGCTGAGATTGTTCCTTTCATGAAATCCGTCCGTCCCGAACTCGCATCCAAACGGCCTGTACTCACACACATCCCCCGCAGCGGTGTGGACGCCAATCCTCAGTCGGTGACATCTGGAATCACACACACAGACACACACACTAAACCAAGCAAACAGCGCTGCAGATGCTTCAGCAGCATCAGCTGCAGCCCGACAGAGCAGCCGCCGTTATCCTCTCGCCGGTTAGTGCGTCTGTGTGGTGCGCACGCCGGTCTGGGATGCAGGGCGTTGCTGGCAAGATGCTAGTGGAGGAAACAGTGTTTTTTTTTTTTTTGACAGATCAAATCGTCATCCCGACCTGGTGTTTTTTAACGAATTGGAAATAAAACCTGTGAACAATAATCGACAGCAGGGCTGATCGATAATAAGCACATTTCCGAAACATTTTAAGAATACTGGGGGGATTTAAAGCTGGGACACTGAACTTAAACTGGGAACTCATAAACAGTTAATTGAATATATTCATATCGCTGTGACTGCTAGAGCCTTCTTGATTAAATTGGCCTCTGTGACCGCAATTTAAACATGTTTTTGTGCTGATTTCTGCTCTGTGGTTATTTGGGGCTGTCTCTTGCTGGGGTAACGTACAATATACAGCCTGTATATGCATAGATGTGCTAAGTGTATACATCCAATGCTGATACATATGATAAAGTCTGGCTCCATCGCTGTAAACATGAGGCCCCTCTGTCTCTTTAAAGGCCGCACCTGCGCAGCTGCCTGGTGCTGATGCTGCAGTGCCCGGGTTATTTTCGGTAAAACAGACGGGGTTACTCGCGTTCAAGCGGGCCCTACATGCCTTACATCACCCCTGAGAGGAAATCAAAACCATTTTTAGCCAATCGCACCTGCCTCTTAATCAGACTAACTTAAAACGAGCTCTCACTCTCTGGTGGCCAGACGAGCAATTTCAGCAAACCAGCCTATTACTCTCTTTCTCAGCCAGACTCATTTTGCTAAGAGGAGGGACCATATTGTTTTTTTCAGACGGTAAGGTTTAGACCTAAATCAGCAGGTTTAAACTTTGGTTCTTTTAATTGAATTCTCTGTAGATCATCCTTGGTGTGATGGGGGATAGGTCAGTTCACAAAATAAAGGTGAACCTGCCGTTTTTAGTTCTATATTGATGTTTTGTGCCCCCATAACCAGGTTCGTCTGATAAGACTTGGGTCACATTTAGTTCACTTACATTTATTATTCTACTGTCAAGATTTAAAAAAAGAAAAAAGAAAGACAAATTTGTTTGCGTAACATAATATTTGTCTTTAGGGAAAGAGATATTCTCCCACCCATCTGAAAGAAAAACCCACAGCCACAGGACAGATCATGAATCATCTAGTGTAACCTCCGAGATAACAGTGTTTCTGTATTTATAAAGCACACATTAAGCATCATTGATTGTCACATAAAAGCACTTCTGTGTTAGTTTTAAGTTTCAGGATGTGAATGTGAATGTTTAACCTCAACAAAGGTATGTGAGAGTGCCTCGTGACTTTCTGGGACTGGAGTTTGCTTACAAATGTGGGTTAGGCATACTATAAGTAGTGAGGTGATGTGGTGTTAGACACACATCTGAGATAGAAGATCGCTCGACATGGCACTAAGGACATCAGCTCTGCTCTCTGTGGGCTTTTTCCTCCTGCTGACACGTGGCGCTCTTACAGACACAGATGAAGGTAAATTTTACAGAAGCTTTGATCGTTTGTAGACGTGCATCATAAATTGTATCACATGTGAATTGCTTTGCGTGCACAATCAGGATCCCTCTCTATCAAACTGTCTGTGGAGAACGAGCAGTCTAACGAGCCTCTCAAGTCCTACTCCAGCAGTGTAGTAAAGGGAGGTGTGCTGCTGGGAGCTCTGAGGAGACTGCACGATGCACAGCACGACTTTAAGTAAGTCCACCCATGACATCCCCTTTAATATAACTGTCTAGCATGCTTTATTGCTAAAAAGGAGCCCCGGCTGATTCTCTTACATATTTAAGCTGAGGGTGACCCATTTCTGCTCTTAAAGCCCTGACTGTTTGTGTTGCCAGGTTCACAGTGAAGGAGGACCCAAACTTTGGCCTGTTCTTGGAGAGTGTGAATGGAGTGGCTGGAAATAAGGATGAGAAGACATACTGGGAGATCCTGTCTGAAAGCTCTGGAGAATTCGACAGACTGGATGTGGGTGAGTGTCATCCCCAGAGCTTCACTTCAGCCTATCTGAGGACGACTTAATGAGCCATAATGAGACAGGAGATTGGGTTGTCTTTTTCAATTACTGCCTCCTACAGCTATTGAAAAATTATCTGCTCTGACAACATTTGTGCGTGTTTATCTTTTATAGAAGGAGAAGGTGGTGATACTACACATTAATAGTGATTTATCTATTAAAGCATGTTTTTTTGTCTTTTAGAGAAAGGATGCTACGCCCCATTGTTATTTCTATTAGCTGCTGTTTCTGTTATAATGCTCTTTCAGGCTGTATGTGTGTAAATATCAGTGTTTGTCATCTAAACGTCGTACAGGGATCGGCTGCTACATGCCCAAAGCGGATGAGCACATCGTCTTGAGGTACACCACCTGGAGTCCTCAACAGTGATGCATGCTGAGCAGTAACTCCTCAGGATCACAAGTGGAAGGGAATCAGTCCTAAATCTCACACTTGTGATGCACTTTGTGACAAAACAGCGACATCTAGTGGTTTAACCTGTAATGTCGCTTATTAAAGGCAGTGAAAGGAAAAAAAAACACATTTTGAGTCTGTTTTTCGGTTTCAAAATGAAATCGATTTTAGTTGAGTAAAAAAAAGACAGAGGAAAAAAAATTCTGAAGTCTTTTAATGTGATTTTAAAATATATAAAACATATAAGCCATTAAATGGGAGCAGAGGTCAAAACGTATTAAATATTTTGTCATATATCTTTTGAAAATCTTTGATTAGTGACTTGCTTTCTCCACACTACTTCTTACCATTTTTTAATTTGGAACTATATCAAGTGTCACAGGCCTGCCTGGAAGCCTAATGCTCAGTAGTTGTTTTGTGAGGAGCGATGGGATGATGGACACGGGGGATGACTGATAATATAATCCAATCAGAATAATATTAGTGCCATCTGTAAAGCTCTGCTTCAGGTCTGCATGGCTCAGAATTCATCGCTTTAAATGTTAAACCTTTGATTTCAAAGACATGAGTAGTTTTTATTTCATTTCACATTCATACAATTGGCTTGTGATATACATTTCTCAATAAATAACTTGAAAATAAAAGTACACACAGCATGACACCTAAAGTATAAATGCTGTTAACAGTTCTACACCACTCTCTCTGTTAACTCTGACCCCTGAACAAACATCTTATAACAAGATTAAGGTCTCAGCTCCTTCCACGACAGATGGGCTGAGAGGAGACGCAAGATGCCAATCTCCTTGGCTTCACTTCCCTCTTTCCTTGTTTCTCTGATTCCCATCCTTATCTGAGGAAAGTAAACATGTGCATGTGTTTGCAGACATCCAAGCTAAATATAGTATGATATATATATATATATATATATATATATGGACAGGAAATGATGTTGAAAAGCCCAAAAATGGGGTTTAAAATCAGCCAAAGTCGCTTTCTATTTCAAATAATTGCTGAACTTGAATCTAATCTAAACCTCTCAGGCGCCTTTCACTAAATTTGTCCTCCCTTTTGTTTTCTGACCCTCTCGCCGCTTTGCATCCTAAAGAGTGACTTAACACTGGCGTGCCAGCAGGATTTGTTCTTGCCATGTAACCCTTTACATACAGAAAGCAGGCAGGCAGGCTTGGAGTGTGTGCCGGAGAGATTAAATTATTGTCCTTAAACACCCAGATTTGTTCTTAAAATTGGATGAAGCAGCAGAAATGCAGCGTGACTCTTTGGTCTACAGCCGGTCTGTGTCTCCTCTTTGTCTGCAGCCTTGTTACACTGTAAGCATCTCTGTGTTTTAGCCTGCAGACACTTGAAAAAAACAAAACAAAAAAAAAACAAAGCAGATATCATTCCTGAAAGAAGGATGGCAAATTCATGTGTAGAGCAATATTCAAATGTATTTGTACACAGACAGCACCGCAGCATGCTCATTCTGCTTTGCATTTGTCCTGACAATGTGGAGGTGGAAGCAACTCACCACACGAGAAAGCGCAGTCACAAATGCAAGGGACACATTGTGCAAAGAACCGTTTCCAGCCGGTCTCCTTCTTCCTGCAGTTGTCTATCTGAGAGCAGCCTCGTTTGGGTGGGCCGAAGTAGCTCTTACCCACGCAGGTGGAGTTGCATGTCCCACTCAGTTCATGCTCGCTGATTTCAATCTGCCCCTGCTTACACATTCCTAAAAGGCAGGTCAAAGAGCGTAAATGTTGATACTGGGTCAGAAAACCTATTGTTGTTGTTGTTTTGTTGCGGTTTGTGTGGACTCACGTAGGCAGATAGGTTTTGGAGTCCAGAGGCCATTAGGCTGACATGATCTGGTAGAGTTTCCAATAAGCCTGAATCCTGAGCGGCAGGTGTACCTCACCACAGATCCCACCCACCAGTCATTACCATACACTGCTCCATTGTAGTCCACATCTGGCCTTCCACAGTTCACTGACACACAGAGAAAAGGAAATGCAGGAAATACAAAGCACAAGACGAAGGTATTTTTAACAAGTGACCTTTTGTTTCTTCGCTCTGATTCTGTGTCTTACCTCTGCACAAGGATTTGTAGCCGAGCCAGCAGCAGCTAGAGTCTCCACAGCGATCTCTCCTCAGCTCCCGGTGCCGCGCTTTACAACCTCCTAAACAAAGCGGGGCTGACCCAGACCAGTATGTGTCATCTATGAAATTCGGCTGGGAAATCGATTCTATCTCACCTGAAGAAGAAAAATACTAAATCATTGGCTTCTTAATACGCAAGGATCGGACAAACATTCATGTATGCCATGACTTAGTAACCAGAAAGTTAGTGAAGAATAGCATTACAGTGTCAGAAAAGGAGATCTTACCACTACCTTCCAGCTCTCCATTCCACTCAGGAAACTGAGATATCCCTCTGTGGATGGATCCAAACAACAACAGGAGCAGCAGTATGTAAAATCTCACAGTTCCCATCTCCTGATGAAGTAGTTTTTCTAAAAAAATGTTTCAGGTGCACCCAGGAACCAAGTAGAAGCATTATACTACGCCATCACTAGACTATGAAGCCATTAGAATCAGTCCCAGGAGAACTGAGTTCACTCACTGGAGGAAGAGGAAGCAGCGAGAGAGAGTTTAAGTAACGCTTCAACTAAGCTCTGTGTGCTGCCTAATCTTCTACAAACAGCTAATGCTGTGCACTGTTTATCATCCTGGGACTCCACTTGGGCAAAGCTGTGTCACGATTTTGACGCCTGATCAAAGGTTTTTATAGGTTTAAAGCAGACGAGGGATGAAAGAACGACCGTCTCCAAATTGATGAGACGAGTGATGGATAACAGAGGTACTTGTACCTTAAACACAGACGCTTTATCCAATGCACATCATTCACATTAGATGGATTAACTAAAATATATGAAATATATAATTATATAGAATATATTGAGAGAAATATAGAACTTTGTTTTGGTCAGCATGAAAAATTGTAATTGTTTTCTGGGGTTTTTTGTCTTTCTTGTATGAGAAAAGCAGAAAACAAACCTAATGTTGGCCTTGTTGCTTGAAAACAACCTGCTGAAGTTCAAACAAAGGAAAGAAAGATGATTTAAGCGACTTTGAACATAGCATGGTTGTTGGTGCCAGACGGGCTGGTATGAGTTCAACCCTTTTTAGAGTTTATAGAAAATGGTTTGAAAGAGAAAATATCCAGAGAACAGTATTTATCTGGCTGAAAATGTAACTTTATTATAACCAAGGTATGCAAAAGAGTATCTCTGAATGTACAACTTGACCATCCATGAAGCAGATGGGCTGCAGCAGCAGGAGACCACACTCTGAGCGCCACTCCTGTCTCCTAAGAACAAGAAAAGCAAGCTAAAATTTCACAGGCTCACCAAAATTGAATAACAAAAGACTGAAAAAGCATCGCCTGGTCTGATGAGCCTGGATTTCCATTGTAACGCATCATGTCACAAAGCTTAAGTCATCTCAAACTGGTTTCTTGAACATGCCCTTAAGTCACCAGATCTCAATCCAATAGAAATCTTTTGAGATGTGGCAGGATGGGAGATTCACATCACGGATGTGCGATGACTGTGTGATGCTATCATGTCAAACTCTCAGAGAGATGTTTCGAGCACCTTGTGGAATCTAAGCGACAAATAATTAAGGCAGCTGTGCAGGCAGAAGGGGGTCCAAACTGGTACCAACAAGGTGTAACTAATGATGTGGGTGGTGAATGTGGACGTTAACAATACTACAGAGACAACGTTTAGATTTACAGCTCAGTTGAGTTCAGTCAAGACATTTTAGACGATTGAGACGTCAATTATACAGCCGTGTAGATCAGTAACAGAGCTGCAGGAGTGCAGTTAGATTTAGCAGGTGGAGCCAAAACACATGATGAATGTATGTAATACATAAAGAAAAAAGTTCACTCTTAAAAAAATATTACAAAACATAAAATAGACAAAAAGGTTTCACGTGTTTATTCAAGTTTAACTGGGAAAGGTACACACTCTGTGAGATGATAAGGTGAGCCCTCTTAGCTTTAATCCAGATTCTGTTGAATATTAATGACAACACGACGTCCCGTGACTCATGTTCTTAACCTTTAAAGGTTTCAGCTGATGTATCTCTGAATTTGATTGATTGAGAACCCAGCAGGCAGTGCAACATTAGCCTTCAACTGTCTCGACAGATTTTACAGCATGAGACACGAACATCTAACTGAAAACAGTTTAAAATTAAGATGCTACACATTAGCAAATAAACACATAAAAAACAGTTTACTTGCCTAATATAGGTTTATATTCAACATGAATCATAACAGTACGTGTTCCTTAATTCAGATGTTATAATTTAAGTAAAGCAGTTCGCTTTCTGTTCAAATCCAAGCCAGGTTTTTGTAGAAGTTCATGAATTCCAAGAAGAGTGTGACTGTGTACTTTGTGCCTGCTCAGGATGTGCATCAAGTCAAAGCACCTCCATCTCCTGTTGCTGAGCAGCATCCTGGAGCTGCAGCATTACAGACTCCTCTCCTGCCTGTGACAGTCCTCCAGTGAGGACATACAGCATGCCCTCTTCCTGTCCGCCTTCCTCAGCGCCGACAGTCGAGCCTGGCTCGTCGATCCTCTGCTCTTCCAGCAGCACCCCTTTCAATTCCACCTGCACCTCTGCCGGAGCTGCTCCTTCCTGCAGCTCCTGACCTTCTGTCGGCTCGCTGCCGCCGTCCTCCTCCGCTTGCCTGTTTTGTCTTTCTCGCATCAACTGCTCGGTCAGCTCCACGCTCTCGTAGCGAATCAGCTGCAGACGCAAGAAACCATCCTCGTGCTCCTTGTACCTGTCAAGAGCGAATAAAGACTTCAAGCGTTGCAATAGCTATTACTGCAGCTGCTTCACTGCAACACTCACCTGAACCTGGGGTGTCCGGACGGCCACTTAAATTGGTGCTTTTTGTGCAGATGGACAGTTAGGTTGTTGCCCCTGGTGAAACACTGGCCGCACACATGGCACTTGTAGCGAGCTACAAAACTCCCCTGGTTATGGAAATAAAACACAATCATCAATGAAAACATCAAAAACCCCTACTTGAACGCAAGTTTAAACAAACACTTCAAACATCACCTCGTGCTCTCTTTTGTGGTGAATCTTCATGGTGCAAGCGGCTCGAGATGTAAAGCCACAGCCAGGGACGTCACAGTGGAAGGCTGACTCGCTGCTGTGGGTGTCCAGATGTTTGCGCAAGTCGACCAGATTCTTACAGCTGTGAGGTTTTTTTTTGTTTTTTTTTTTAAAAACGGTGGGAGCAAATGTCATTGTCTGTTTAATAACTTAATCCTTAAATTGGTGAAATTTCAGGGGTTTGGGTACCTGTACTCGCAGTAGTCACAGCTGTATGGCTTCTCGTTGCTGTGGCGGAACTTGATATGGTTGCGCAGTGAAGAGGGCGACGGGCACGTCATGTCACATAATGGGCATTTGTAGTGGCTCACTGTCCCAATAAAGCAGTGGGGAAATTAAATTTGTCTATATTAAGACTACAGAGTTGTTTGTTGGCAACAGGATTTCTTCACTCACTCACAACAAAGTGCATCACATGCTCAGCAGATCAAAAATAGACACTGTGAAGGACTATTTTTATTTTTGGTTGCGTCAAGCCAAGAAATAGTTGTGAAACGCTTCATTTTAAAACTGGATGCTCTCACTATGAAGCAGAAAAGATCCAGAAAGATGCTGATTAACTCATCTGGCTCACAGTCCATCACAATTCCCGGGTTATTGTAATGTGTGACATGCAGAAATAAAGTCTTAGTCTTAAACACAATCTGAGTTAAGACCTGGTAGATGAACAATGTGTGAAAGCTTCACCTCCAAGAGTATGGAACAGATTTGCTTCATACTCCAGGAGTATCATTTTTTGTGAATTGTGTATGGATGGACACCTCATCATGGCATAAACTCATGTGTAAAAAAAAAAAGCACAATGAAGCATAACTGACCGTGGGTCCTCATGTGGTCCCTCAGAAGTCTTTCTGTTGCAAAACGTTTGGAGCAGTGCGAGCACTGGAACCTCTGACCTATGTGACACGACACAGATTGTTCGATTATTAAAGGTTTTTTTAACATTACTAAGCTTAATTTCATAAATCTGACAGAATCTACCTTCCATGGCGCTCTGTCGTATGATGTGGTCAAACAGCTTTGTATTGTTGGCATACATCCCCCCACAGCCGGGACATGCCACCACCTTTTCCTGAGTGTGGCTGCGCAGGTGCTCTCGCAGCTTAGGACGGCCTTTAGCAGTCGCTTCACAGTCTGAAAATGACAGGCACAAAACCTGGATTCAAAAGTCTGAAATCCTCAGCTCGACACTGAAAATGTGCAGCTGTACAATCTTCACTTAACATTTACAGTTGAAAAAAAACAAACACTGTAAGCGTACCTTTCCATCCACAGCGTATCGGGATTTCACAGTCTCCTGTAGGTATCTCTATGCACAGGCTGTGCATTTCCACATGGCGATAAAACCACTCAGGGTTTTCATACGGTGGTTGCTTTAACAGATGTGCATTAAGAGAGTTACAGAGCCACATGTATTATTAGTTTAACTCTACTACACAGATCATTTACAAACTCAGAAATACTGGGTTCAGGAACACTAACAGAGATCTGAACACAGTTCACAGTGCCATCCACAAAAGCAGATTAAAGCTTTGTCATGCAAAGAAAAAGCCATTTATGAACATAATCCAAAACACTGCCGTCTTCTCTGGGCCAAACCTCATTTATAATCGAGTGAAGCAAAGCGGAGACCTTTTCTGATGTCAGACGAATTAACATTTGCAATTCTTGTTGGAAAACATGGATGTCATGTTCTCTGGAGTGAACAGTGGAGAGACTAGCCAGCTTGTTTTCAGGCTTCGGTTCAAAACCCTAGACCTCTCACGTTATGAAGTAGCATTAGTGTCTATAGAACTGGCAGCATAAGATTTGGGAAAGCTCCATCAATGCTCAATGTATCTGCTACTCTCGTCTTTCACCAGCAGCAGATACAGCAAACTTACTTCACATTCCTCCCAAAGGCAGACAAAATTATCTGGGATTTCAGGGATGATGTTGCGATTGTGGTAGGCGATGGAGCAGTTGCCGATTTTTGGATGGGCACTGAGTACCTGCTGACCCAGCTGCTTTAGTTTAGTGTGATAACAGTGAAAGAACACGTGTCGCCGCAACTCTTCAGATCCCTCCACGGAGCAAAAACCACAGTCTCTCCACAGACAGCTTCTCTCCCCTTTGCACAAAAAGTAAAAGAGACTAGATTAGGAGGAATCATCACTATCACTTATCATCAGGACGTTGGATGTCAGCAAAGTTAAGTAAATTAATCCAATTCAATATCTAGTGGCCAAATGTTATGAATAAGCAGCTGATGGGTAAAAGCTCTCGTCATTTCTAGTGGTGGTCTAGACGTGCAGTAAGTGAGGCCACATTGGTTAAGGCCTATTGAACCAAATCATTAAAACACGTTCCTGTCCAGCTCCTCACGCTACATCTCCAAAACAAACACCTCAGCTATGGAGGTGCCACACGTACACGAAGCTGCGTTTCACCTCACCCTCTGTTTCTTCTTCCTCCTCCTCCTCTTCCAAAGCACTTAGATGACCCTCCACATGCTTGCAAAAGTTTTCCATCCGATTAAATGATTCCTGGCATGAACCCCACTCACACTCCAGCTTGAGTGCTTTCTTCTGCATTCGCTTGTTAGGAGGCATCTCTCCGAGTCACAACTGGACTAAATGTCAGACGTTTCGCTCCAGGACCGAAGTCGCAAACGCTGTTTGACCATCACCTGACCGCCCAGCAACTAAGCTGCTAGCTTACATTAAACAGTCTCCACGGTGCTGCTGAAACACCAGCAGATAACTGTTTAATAAGCTAAACGAATAAATTGTTATAAGCTTCACGACAGCGTTAAGAGAGAGCTCGTATTCATCGGACCTGTTCTTCTTCCGTCCACAAACGCGGGCTGTGCAACAACACCGACGTTCCCCTTGAAACAAAGTTTAGTTAAATAGTTCCTACTCAAAAAAAATTCCTTTCTGTATTTACAGTTAACAATTGGAAGATATTTACAATAAATCTTCATTTTTATTGACATTTATTCAAATATTTTACTTAAGTATAAATTTAGGGCATTTATGCTCCTATAATTTTATTTTATACTACTGGACACTGTGTACATTTTAAAGGCAAAAATATCACCTTACTACACGCTTACAATTATGGAAGACCAGAAGAATTCCACACATCAAAATCAAAGTATTTTGTGCTTTAATCATAAGTTTAGTGATGTCTAATTAAAGATTATGAAAAAGTATTTGGTAAAAGATTTTACTAGCGCACATTTCATTGCACAACTCATTAATAAAGCACAAAATGTTCTGTTTTGAGGTGAGTGACTCTTTGGGTCTTCCATGTCAAACAACCCACAACCTGTTCCCGTTAGGCGTCGCCACAGCGGATCACCTGCCTCAATCTAACCCTAACACTCTCTTCTGTCTCACCAACCCTCTGCATGTCCTCCCTTTCAGCTATTTGTATACAATGGATAAACAGGTAATGCTAAATTTTTGGTAAAATGTCTGCACTTCAATTGTATATTGATTGCTTGTGTTACAATCCAGCATGAGAGAGGTAAAACCACACAAACTGTGACTTTGTCCCATTTCTGAACTATAACGGAAGCACTTTAAGCACTATAATTTAGCACACTTTCTCCCAAGTATTAATACAACACAATCTTACATCATCATTTTTCCCGTTTTTATTTGATAATCTGTGCCTTCAATCTCAGTAAACAGTTTTGCACTTGTAATTACATTCCTAAATAAAAAAGTCCAGTGCCAGTTGACTTCACGTTGATGCTCTTTCTGAAACCGTTGGGATGATGCTCAGTCCTAAACAACACGGCTATATATTTGATGAAAGAAAAGCAAAGACGATCAGTTATCTTTAATCGGGATGTGCTTTTTCCACAATCAGGACGTGGTCATGTGACTTCATGACCTCTATTTAATCATCTCCTCACACTTTATTGATGACTACACTCCTTTGATATTTCACTGCTGTTCTTCACAACAATCATTTTGTTGTTGTGACTTTTGTTGAGAGGGAAAAGAAACAACCAAGAAGCACTAAATGAGTTTAATATTCCTACCATAACTGCATTAAAGTGTAAGTAGGCACATTTTCTCTCAACAGCAGATTAAAGCAGTATGTGAACATGTGAATATTTGACCAGTTTTTAGAGGATTTCTACGTTTGCAAGTCAGCGATGTCTGCTACACCGAAGATCAAAACTTGACAGACTTTCTTTTTAAAAACCAAGTATAAAAATATACTTTCAGGGTGAATACGTGGGGTGATTAAGACCCAGTTACATTTCCCTGACTGTAATGACTGAATCCCAGGAGAGCGCTACTGTTGGCATCAAATCATTAGCCGTTCTGCTTGTACATTAATATGAAAAGGTTGTGGTGAAGTTAAATAAAGCTTTAACCCTTGCTCTGGGTCTTTACTGCAGAAAGAGTCTGAATATGAAAAATGTCAGTGAGGTAGTGGAAACTATTAAAAGGCAAATGAACAGTGAGCCTGTAAAATAGTTCCACAGCAGTATCATATTTTCCTCAGTCAGCACTCCGTCCTCAGTCCCGGTAATCTAGACGTCATAGAAGAGACGGACGAGATGATAACGGATCCCAAAAGCCACTGCGCTGCCCATCACCTGAGTGAGACGCAGAAATGAGAGGCGAGTCAAACATTTTATGGCTGACAATATTCAGGCATATGTGGATACTGCAGGTGCTCTGTTATACCTGTATGACGAGCATGATGACTGTGAGAGTTCTCTCGTGGACGGGTCCGAGTACTTTCAGCACCAGGTTTATTAAGGTCATGTTGTTGCACTCAATAAAATCACCATCCCCCTCATGGCCTCTGCGCACCTCGAGCAGCTTTAATAACTCTGCCACCTGTTGAGGATTAAAGGTTTTATTGTTATCAGCCAGTAAACACAGCCCGACGCATGCTAGTGGTCTGCCTCAGCTGTGTGTGTGTGCGCGTTCATACATGATATCCAAACTTGTGAGTTATTATCAACTTCTCCAATTTTTTTAATTAAGCAAATTAATGTATTGAATTAATTAATCTGATTTTCAGGTTGATACATATGGTTCGTTGTCATTTTTTTATGTTGCATGTAACCTGTCCCATGGGCATAATTATTATGAGCCAAATCTAGGTGTGCTGCGATGTGCAGTACAACCTGTATGCAGTGCTGTGAAAAACTAGATACTCCCTGTGATTCATTACATCGTAGAACTACTTTTAATTGTTTTCTGTATGGCTTTATCAGTCAGTCACATTAATGTAGAAGAATTCTGGCCCACTCTTATTGCTTGTTGCTTTATCTTTTTTTTTCTAGGTTAGATTTGCTGCTGTTCTTGGGATCATTTGGGTCATGCAACAGAACAGACAGCTAAATGTGGCCTAACATTTGGCTCTAGTACACTTTGGTATACAGAGGCATTCATGGCTGACTGAATGACTTCACCGTTACCGTGCGTGACACTTGGAGGGATATCATGCACAGCCATATTTGGCCATATTGCTGTTTTTCTCTGAAAACTGTATTATGTGATCACGGATTGAATCTGTTGGAACTCGTGAGAAGACTAACTGTAGAATGATGGACTTCAGTTGTTTGGAAATGACTTTATAGCCCATCTCAGACTGATGGGCAGCAACAATTGCTTCTCTGCCATTAATGCTTATATCTTTCTCTCATTGGCGTTTTGTTAACAAGCATCTGAATGCTTCACACCAGCAAACTGCCAACACATCTGCTTTTATAGAGGCGCTCACACTTGATGATGAACAATTAATCAAGCGCATTTGATCAGCAGCACCTGGCTGCTATTTACCCTGTTATTTCTTTTATGGAAGCAGTCAGTGCAGTGAGTATTTTACGGGACTCTGTCATACAGTGTATGAGAAAACGTGTTCTGCGTCACAACCAAATAATGCGTCTGGGTTTTAATAACGGACGCTGACAGCGCGAGGCAATTGGAGCAGAAACAATCAGCTTCATTGCCCAAAGCAATTAGATAATTATATTCATAAAGATTTCCTCATTTCATCTTATCAAAAGTCTGGATTTGGTGCTTTCCTCTTTGAGTTGTGATGGGACAAGACCAGCAGCTGACATGATTTACAGCTTAGTTTAGGAGAATTTCTATTAAAGCATGGGAATACTCAAACAGAGAATACGCAAAAGAAAAGCTTTACCGTCAAAATGAGGTGGCCTAACTTAGAGAGGTCCTTTGTTTTGAATTTAGAGTAGCTCATCCCCAGCTTGCCATTTTCTGGGTTCAACCTTTAGTTAGAAGGAGCATTGGAAGAAAGAAAAAGTTGAGCAATACACATATCAACAGGGTATAATCGTATATAAATGATGTTCATAATCAGGCAGTCACCTCGGGAGCCGGTGCCTGGGACAGGGGATTATGTGAAACAGCTGTGGTACGGAGTAGACAAAGTTAACCACTTGAGGAATGAAAAACAGCAGCATTGTTTTGCTGAAGTGTCCCAGGATGCCGACTACAGCAAAGGTCATCCCAGCAAAGTAGCAGAAAGTATCTCCCACAAACACAGATGAAGGGTACCTGTGACAAAACAGATTACAATCACCATGCTAGAGGGGGACTTGCACATATAGCTCTTTGTTTTTGATTGCAGAAAATATATGTTAACTTTCCCGAGTTCGGTAGACTTATCTTACCAGTTGTGGTACATAAGCGCTAATGTGGTGAAGAAGAACGGTATCATGAAGTAGAGGGAGAAAACGTGGTCATCGCGGTAATCTCCTAATAATAAGAAGAAAGCGCAAAGAACCACATGTTACACAAAATATGTCCAGCTTCTGCACACGTGTGACGGGAAACGAAAACGCATACCGCTGAGCTCCAGAAGGTTAAATATGATGATGGAGCCCGAGATAAACAGAGCTTGGCCTGATTCGATCCCGTTGATGCCTGCTAGGATGTTGATGGCATTTGTGCAGAATACAGCAAGCATTCCCATGTAGACATAGTACAGGATGCCTGCAGAAGAAATGACGAAACACCATTTAAAGGAAGACTTCAAAGCAGTGAATCCAGACAAAGAACAGCGGACAACCACACAACTCACCCAAATCCAAGTGCAGTCCGAGCAGTGCTCTGAAGGGCTTGGGCACCACTATGACAGTGTTGCCAAAGTTGGTAAAATAGACCATGAGCAGTGGCAAGGAAGCCATGGTGGGAAGCAAGAGCTTGTGTCTCCACCGGAGGTTGAGCACATCATCGGCAAAACCAAGGAAGATCATGCAACAGATGGCCAGAAGTGCACCGATGAGCTGTACAAACTGGCAAAAACAACGCACACAAAGGTCAGACGTGAGGTTCAGACTGGAAAGAAACACGGGGTCATTGCACAACAGTGTACTCACCTCATCATGTGGGAAGCCCATGCACTGATCTCCAACAAAGCAGCTGAGGAAAGGCACTGGGATGAAACAGAAAAGGATGATGAGGAAGACAGTCCCACTGATGACTCCTTGAGACTCTGGACTGTAAAGAAAGGGAAGTGAAAAGGAAAACAATTTATTATCATATTTTACTGAATATGTCATTTAAGCTGAAAGCCGTGTAGCTAAAAGGACAGACAGGGAGACGACTCACACTTCCTTTTTGGATGTTTTGTTTAGATCCACTCCGTATAATCTGGCTGATATGAAATGATCTTTGAAAGCCGGAATGAGTTTCAGTGTGGCCAAGCAGCCGAGCACAGACATGAAGCAGTTGATGACCAGCGGAAGGACGGGTATGGGTGACATTATTTCGGGCTTTTTGGCGAATTGGTTTCTGCCAGATCGAAATCACGTTTGTAGCTATTGTGACGCCGCTTCCCTGCGGGCGGGCGACGGATTGGCTCTGACTGTGATCACCGAGGTACGAGAAACATATCAAGCCATCATTTCAGAACAAAAGGCGTCTCTGTAATTCCACGGTCAAAAAAAATCCACAAGTCTATAAATCCTCGAGTCACAGTGGTAATCCATACCATCTGTCATTACGACTTGTAAATTTTATTAGCTCTGCATTGCCTGGCTGTCTAAACTCCACGTCTGACATTAGTTCAACCGTTAAGTCACACAACATACAACGAGATGGGACTTCCGATTGCGGTTTTCAAAATAAAACGTTATTGGCCCATAACGTCTCTCTCTCGAACCCGTTTTTAACGCTAAAATGAGCTTTCAATAGAATAAAATACCTATTGTGTGTAAGTTTCAATGTTTGCATTATTTACAGAATATCTGAAATTTTGATAAGTTTTTGAGAGATTTCTGTATACTCTTATTGTATAAAGTATACAGAAAATACTAACTTTGACTTCCGACATCTGTATTGACGCGGAAGTGAAATCTTCTTCTTCGGTACATATTTTTTCGCACATACGTCATTTTTATGATAAAATTCTGCCACCTGTTGACAAAACAAATGCTTTCTCTCTTTTGTATAATGTATATTTTTCTTCTGTTGCTGTTTAGTAATATTTTTGTAGGCTATAGGTTATGTTGCATATATTTATTTCTTCTCTATTCATTTTGATATTATAATAGTAAAACCTTCCCAAGTGAGGGACTTATCTCATCATATATATATATATATATATATATATATGAAATCAATTTTCAGTATTGATTAAAAATATGATATGATATGATATGATATGATATCATCAAATATGATATGATGAGATAAGTCCCTCACTTGGGAAGGTTTTACTATTATAATATCAAAATGAATAGAGAAGAAATAAATATATGCAACATAACCTATAGCCTACAAAAATATTACTAAACAGCAACAGAAGAAAAATATACATTATACAAAAGAGAGAAAGCATTTGTTTTGTCAACAGGTGGCAGAATTTTATCATAAATATGACGTATGTGCGAAAAAATATGTACCAATTTATTTGAAACTTTAAATGGCTGAAATTGAGAAAAGCGAATTGGTACTGTCTCTTTCCTATCAGAAAAGAGACAAAGAAAATCTGAGAACATAGAACCAACTGCTGTATACTCCAGTAAAGTCATGCTACACACCTTCAGCAGCCACTTTTTATGTATGCATGTTCAAGTGCTTGTTAATCCAAACATCTAATTATCCAATCACATGTCAGCAGCTCAAAGCATTTAAACATGTAGATGTCTGTGAAGGTTCTCAGCCATCCAGGTCATTGTAGTCTAAGGAGCTTGAAAATAAAAGTGTCTGGACTTCTTTAAGTTGCTTGAAGATGGTGAAGAGTCCCCGATGTAGACATCACGAAGACAGCCTATTGAAGTTCAAACTGAGCATTAGAATAGTGGAAGAAAGGTGACTGAAACTGGTTGTTGGTACCAGATGGGCTGGTCTTCACAGTCTGGATTTCAGTCCAGTAAAGGACATTTCAAGGGAAATCTGGATGAGCGAATGACAAACCTGCAGCAACTGTGTGGTGCTATTATTTCAATATGAAGCAAAATCTCAGAGAAATGTTTCCAGCACCTTGTTAAACCTGCATCATGAAGACTTAAAGCAGTTCTGAAGGGTTAATTAGTTTTACAATTTGAAAAATGTTTTAAGTGATCTGATTACAGTAAAAAGGTGAGGTGTGAGAATGACTTTCCTGATATGAGAACTGCACCAAAGCCATTGAGATAAAGTAGCATTAAGGGAAGTGAGAGATCTGTAGCTCTGAATGACAAATGAGCTAAAAACTGTTCTGATGAACTGTGAGATTCAGATGAGATTCGACACAATACAAAATGTTTTTAGTAGTGAAGTATATATAGAAACAACACATAGTCATTACTAGTATCCACTTGGCTTGCTGCCTGTATATTGGAGCTTTACCCTGGTGGATGAGAGTGTTTGTTCACTGCACCTTCAGATCAGGGAACAGGTCCTGACTGTCATCTGCGCTTTTGTGCCGAATGACAGTTTAGAGTACCCAGCTTTCTTGGAGTACATGGGTGAGGCGCTTGAGAATGCTCCACTGGGCACACCATCCTCTTAGTGGGAGACAATGCTCATGTGGGCAATGACAGTGAGACCTGGCGGGGCATAATTGGATGTAACAGCCTGCCAGATCTGAAGCCCTGTTCTGTTACTGGACTTAACAAACACCATGTCCATAAGTGCACATGGCACCAGGACACCCTAAACCGCAGGTCAATGATGAATTTTGTAATTGTATCATCAGATCTGCAGTCATATGTTCTGGACACTCAGATGAAGGGAGGTGTGAGTTGGTAACTGATCACCACCTGGTTATGAGTTGGATCAGGTGGCGGGGGAAGATGCTGGACAGACCTGGGGCGCCAAAACATATAGTGTGGGTGCGCTGCCAACACCCGGCAGAGGTCCCAGGAGAGCTTTGACAACGTTCCGAGGGAGACTGGGGACATTGAGTCTGAATGGATCATGTTCAGCACCTCCATTGGTGAAAGTTGTGCACTGAGCTCTGGCCGCAAGGTGGTTGGTGCTTGTTGTGGTGGTAACCCCTGAACCAGATGGTGGACACTGGAGGTGAAGGGAACCATCAGGCCTCTGAAGTCCCACAGGCTAACCAAGCCAGTTAACCTGTGGGACTTCAGAGGCAGCTGATAAGTACCGACAGGCCAGGCAGAATGCGAATTGGGCAGTAGCTGAAGCAAAAACCCGGGTTTGGGGGGAGTTTAGAGAGGTCATGGAAAAAGACTTTCAGACTGCCTCGAAGAGATTCTAGCAAACTGTCAGGCGACTCTATTATTTGGTGGTGGAAGAAATACTTGAGGAGCTCCTTAATCCCACTGACACTTCTTCAGTGGAAGCAGAGTCCGGGTACGAGCGGGACGACTCGTCCATCAACGGGGCAAGGCAACTGAGGCAGTTAAACAACTTCCTGTGGCAAGGCCACTGGAATGGACAAGGTTCACCAGAGGCCATAGGTAAGGGTAGGGACGTAGACTGACATATGGTGCATATGAGTCTTCGCCATGTGAGAACAGCATACAGTAAACACAAAGACATTTTGCCCTTCAATGACTTGGTAACAGATTATTTAGAAACACAGAACCTGATTTTGTATTTAGCTGATGAAAGTCACAAAAAGCAAACATGCACTATGAAAAATGCCTGAGCATTTTTTGTGTTGACTGTCACATCTATTTTATTTATTGCCTATAGCACATTTAAAGAACAAAATCTGTCTTTTAAAGCGACAGGCACATTTATATTCCTGGTCTCCAAAAACAAACACTATATAAGAATTTGAAAGGTGTGTTTTGTTGTATTAACTAATTGTGATTTAGTGCAAATTACAATGGGTTCAGAATTTGCAAATTAATGCTGATTCACCCCATAAGTCATGACACACTACTCTCCCTAATCTGCCTTTATAGGTTAAAAGTATTAGTATTGGTATCAGCGAGACTGGCCCTGTGTTTACTTGGTAGCAGATCGATGCCAAGTAAATAAGTATGGCACAGTTCTACATTCAATTGACAACATATTTTTAGATAATGAATGACATCTATCCTTATAAAGAATTACTTAGAGTATGATTCAGTATTAATGAGAACATGTGCTCATTTTGCGCAAACAGAAATTCTTGCTTAATGTTGAGAAAAGGATGAAACCAAAGATTCCCTTCCCACTGATTTGGATATCTGAGATAAAATGTATCTCCCCTTGTTTTTTTCTCTCTCTTCCCAGTGTGATATTTAATTTAATATCACATACTGTTGGTGTGCTTGCATCTGTGTAGCAGTCTTTTATTTTGCATGTTTACATTGTTATAGTAATCACTGTTCTCTCTGGCAATTGATTGCGTCTTTTGACAGTAATTGTCATATTTGTATTCGTGCTTGAAACATTAAACATTTATTTAAAAAAACAACAACCCTCCACACACAAACGCCGTTTTGTGTCCTCCTTTTATTTTGAAAGGTCCGACCAGCTTCCGTTTTTTGATGAGTCCGTCCCCTGCAGCGCCACCTGTCTGCCGATGCTGTTGTTTGTTAAATCGTCGCCGTGGAGGGGTTGCGGAGGAAGGAGCTGAGACCAGCGGAGATTTTAAATGCGCCGGAGCCCGTATCGCACAGGCGGAGAGCTGGAGGCTTGTGTTGGGATCGACAGATGACAACAAACACACTGAAGCATCGCTAAGCGCTCGAAGATGGGACAGACACAGTTGTTGTTGGAAGCGCTCCATATCGCCATGAACACGGCTTCATTTGTTTTCGATTACCTGCAGCCTGCAGCTCGGACCGCTTAAACTTCAGCTTGGTATGAAGCTACGTTATGTGACTTTTCTGTATATTATTATTAGATATCATATACATGTTTTATATACATGCATGGCGCAAACGCAGTAGGTTTTTTTTTTAAAAAAAAAACCCAAACCTTAAATTAAATTAAAAAAAAATTTTAATTTGAACCAAAAAAAAGAAAGAAAGAAAATTGGTTCTTGTCGTTATAACCACGGTGTAAATTCTCCATTACCGGTAATCAACGCGACCGTCTGTTTGCTGCCACTCGCAGGCTGAAAGCAGCTGATCTGCTCACCACTCACAGTCCTGTTATTTCCATCTGGAGCTGATGATATGAGAGGCTGCTGGAGGCGGTGATGGAGCTCCAGGAGTTGAGCTGGCTGTGCCTGGTGGGTCTCTTCCTCGCCTCTTTGGTCATCGTGCTGGGATGGTTGTTCCAGTACTCGCTGACTGTGTTGCGGTTGTGGAGAGCCAGGAAGGCAGCAAAGCGACACAGCCGAGACCCAGCCTGGAGGCAGCACCCAAATAAGAGCTTGGCCGGAGCTTTGTGGGGCTTCCTGCTGAAGCTCCGCTCCGGCCGGGATGGACGACCCACATCTGAGGCCGGGGTTAAAGGCTTGTTGACCTCTCTGTTCTCCTTCAAGTCCTTCAGGGAGCTGTTTCAGAGGACCTGGGTCAAGGCTCTGAACGAGCAAGCTTGCAGGCATGGGGTGAGTTGAAATCTTTAAGCTTTTAATACATCATATTTAACAAGAGAGCTGATTAAACATGATGCCAGTGTGTGTGCACAAGAGGTTACTCCATTAAGTGGAGGCATAAATAGTTAAGCAGGAGCTGATACAGTCGGTGTGCTCATGTGCAGCTGGAAGTGTGTGTGTAGGCAGAGGAGGTGGAGGTGTGGGAGTTGGAGTGTCTAATCGGTAAGAGGATGGGGGGCAGAGCCTTGCGTAACAGCTCTGATTTAATGCACAAAAGAGTGGAGACGCAAGAGCAGTCAGCACAGCCACAGTAACACCCACACCTCATAAAAATAGTCTTATACCCTCATGGGAAGAAGTAGATGTGTGTTTGATCAAATCGGGAAAGAGGCAGAATGAAAAGAATGGCTGTGTCACCCTCCCTTCAGCTCGTAACCTTGGCCATCAGTTAGAACGCAGCGTAACGCATCAATGTTTGATTCAGTGGGTTCAGCACTGGAGACAGCCTGCCACTTTGTGTCCAGTGTCCCTAAAGGTCTTTCTCCCTTTAAGTCGTTCTTTCATCTGTGTGAATCAAAGTCAGACGGAGGTGGCTCCTCTACACCCCCCACTTTTAAAACCGTGCGTGTTTATCGAGAGATGAGTTGGAGGGGAGTTTAAAGGGGTCAGACAAGATCAATCACATGCATTGCACATCTGCAACAAACAGCACTTGTTTTCTGATTCGTGAGGGTCACCTAACCTTTGTTGTTTGAGAGCTCATCTGCAGATGTCCAGAGTAAACATCTTCCATAGGAGAGCATTTATTCAGAAATAATACCATTAAAATTATTACAATGCAAGTATTTGGTTTTCTTTAAAAGATGACCTGTTTTCATAACCGAGTATTTCAGGCACCTTTTCTTGTGACCCCAGACTGACCCCATGAGTTGGGATCAGGGCCTCACCATCTGTTTCAGGTCATTAATGGCATTATGTGACAGATAAGAATCTAAACATCTAAATGAGAGCACAGAGCTTTGAAGACTGCTTGCCTTGCGTTTCTTTGAATTGGAGGTACAATCACAGCCACTTTATTAGGTACACCTGCTCAGCTATATCTTATTATCTTGTTAGCCAATTAAATGGCAGCATTTCGGCATGCAGATATGGTGAAGACAGCCTGTTGAAGTTCAACCTGAGCAATCTGAGTGGTTGCTGAAGGTAAAAATGCCTTTTTGATGCCTGAGGTCAGAGGAAAATGGTCAGACTGCTTCAAGCTGATAGAGGAATAGCAATAATGCAAATAGCAACTTGTAACAACCAAGGTGTGCAGAAGAGCATCTCTGGGCTACAGCAGCAGAAGACCACTCCTGTCAGCTAAGAACAGGAATCTGAGGCTACAGATTATATAGGCTCTGGTCTGATGAGTCTCAATTTCAGCTACAAAATTTGGATGGTAGGGTCGCAACATGAAAATCCATCCTCCAATGAATGAATGGGATATTGTCTTAGCACACTTTGAGCCCCTTAGTACCAACTGAACATCATTTAAGTATTTTTGATGATGGTTGCTTCCAGGATAATGCACTATGTCACAAAGCTCAGAACATCTCAATCGGATCTCTTGAACACGACAATGAACTCACTGTACTCGAATGACCTCCACAGTCACCAGATCCCAACCCAACAGAGCGCTTTTGAGATGCGGTGGGAGAGTCACATCATGGATGAGCAGCGGATAAATCTGCATCAACTGCTATCATGTCAACATGGACCAAAATCTCTGAGGAATGTTTCCAGCCACTTGTGGAATCCATGCTACACAGAATTTGGGCAGCTCTAAAGGCAAAAGGTGTATCTAATAAAGTGGCAGAAAAGTGTACCTTCTCTGCACTTTGTACATGTTTTGTATGCAGGAGTAAGTCTGTTGAGCTTTCGATACCTGCTTTCATATAACCCCGTTTTGTGCTGATAGTCAGAGGTCCCTGTGCTGTAGTGGATCGTTTTTCTTCACTATGTTGCTGTCAGCCGAGTTATCTCACTATGACCTCGGCTGGCTGATCTGCTTTGACCTTTGACACTCTCATTTACTAAGACACTCAAACGCTGAAGTGAACCTTGGGTGAGCCTTTAGTGGCAGTTTCCAGGTGCTGAGCGTGCTGCATTTACCTTCATAAAAAGTTTTATGATTTTACAATAATTCAAAGATAAAAAGCACCGTCACCTGGCTGTAATTGCTCATAGCTCATTCATAGTCACATGAACTGTGTGTGTGCGGTCTGTGACCCCTGTTCCAACTTATGAAATGCTTTCAGACCACAGTGAAGGGACTTTGAGCTAGACTAGAAAGGTGCAGAAAAAGGGTGAATAAAGTGTCTGAAGTTCACTGGGAGGTGATTTTATAAAACTGGGCAAGCAAGTCAGTGTTGGAGGACACAGAGACGAGCTGGCTGTGTGTGTTTGTCCATGGGGTGTTTAGTTTGTGAGCCGAGTGTGTGAACCAGAGCTTCCCGAGTTCATTCATCACAATAAAATATCTGCTAGTCATACTGTCTGCAAACACAGCAAGCTGTTGTTCTAAATGTGTCTGGGCCATATGCAAATCAATGTTAGTTTCTTAATGAACCTTTGAACATTACTCTTAAGTACCAAATCACCAGTGTGCCTTGTTTCAAAGATAAACCCACAGGATGTAATCTAAGAAGCAGTCTTTGTCTTGAAGCTTAAAGGGCACATGCTTCGGTCTCCATAGCGTCCTTTTTACCATCAACAACAGGTGCATTGGATGTGACACTATTCAATTGTTCATTATTAAGTAGCATCGTGTTCTATTAGCCAGTTAAGTGCGTCTTAGCTGTATTATGTTCACCTCCCACGTAAAAACCAGACTGGAAAAACCTGCTGCAAGGAGCCGCGGCGATACGGCAAGCATTAAGTGGCAAGAAACTTGTCGCCTCGCATTCTTTGCTTCTCGCATACAGCGAGGCTCTGCCACCTGCCAGGCAGGTTTCTGTGGCCGCTCTGAAAACAGACACGTGAACATATATTACGGTCCCAAAGACTCATATTCTCCTCGGACGTGCATGATTGTGTTTCTACATCGGGCAAAACATGAGCTTCCCCGGAGGAACACAGCACCGGGGAAGTGGTGCTTCAGTGTCATCGTGGGGATTAGTACGCAAATCCTTTATAGCATTAACCTAAGTACTTTTCCGGCACTTAAGATTGATGGTGACAGAGGTCTTTAAATAATTACTATGCTGAAATTTATCCAAATAAAGGCAAGCTGACTGAGCATGCAAGGTCAAGTTAGAGCAACAGAAAGGGTTCATCAAACCTCCTGCCAGTCTGCAAGTTGTATTTTTATGATTTATTCTTTCCCAATAATTATTTTAATATATATGTACTAACAGTCCCCGAAAATTCCTGTGGAGATAAGCCCCAGTTAGCACTGATGGTCCCATTTCATCTGTTAAAAATGACCAGATTAACAATATTTCTTTCATTTATCATAAAACTTCCTTCCTGTTGTATTTTATCACGAAGTGTATAAAAGAGGTGGACCATCATACATAAACTGGCATTTGTATGTCATCCTGTTGTTTCTTTGGAGCCTGATTATAGACTTTGAAGACTCGAAGTTAACAAACAACCTCACAAAGTTAAATGAGTGAGGAATAAGGTCACTGTCTTATAGCTTCTATACAGCTGAACGTCTTTTTGAGAGTCAAAGAATCAAAGCTTAAGTCATTTCCGCAGCTTTATTTTCAGACCTGGTGGTTACATTAATTTTTTTCATACAGTGTATGAATTTTTTTTACATTACCTAGCCAGGACTAAACCCCTGTTTGCCACTCACACACACAGCTATGAGCTGGTGGCTCTGTTGTTTACCTCACTTGAAGTCAGGAAACAACAAGTTTGAGAATGTGCCTCAGCTTAATACAGGAAAAACTGGTTTTATACTCAAATTATGAAGTAAAATAGTTGAAATGACAGGCAGTGTGATCTAGCCTGCTATTGTGACCTTACCACATAAAGTTTTTAAGACTTTGCTGCTCTCGATTGCGAAAGTTGATATTTTAGATGCAGGTTTTTGGTTTGATGCCACATTGAAAAGAGATCACTGAAACAAAAAAAGTGTCTTAGGGTCTTTTTTTTCCCTGATATCTTCCTACGTGTCAGCGATGCGACTGTGCAGTTTTGAACATCCCTCATCCCGGACGGCTGACTCTGGCATGCTTGTCGATATATTGTTGACTACAGCGGAGAGTGATGTAAGGCCAGGAATCCTTTTGCTGTTTCGCTCATTTTCAGTGTTGTCACAGTGCTCTGTCCTTGTAGCAAAACATTCCAGAGGGCAGACCCAACCCTGACCCTGATGTCCAGCATTTGAAACAGCATGATGAGACACACACACACAAAAAGATTCAGAGGGCTGAGTACTGACACCGGGGTTTGGGCTTGTTACATAAACTGCAACAAATGCCTCATCCCTTTGTAGTGAGATTGCAGGATATTGAGGCAGCTAATGAGGACTTATTTAAATGTAATATGACTTGAAAGTACATTTGTGCTGCAGAACGGCACAGCTCAGAATGCTTATACTACCCAAATAGACTGTTGTGTGAGGAAAGAAAGAAGCTAGGCATTTTTCTTTTGCAGATACTTAAAGCCATGAGGTTTGATTTTCTGTGTCCTACACAGTATCTGATATAGATTAGAGAAGACGATTGCAAACCCAGGGTAAACAGGTGGAGCACCAGCCGTGCTTCATTCTTCTTCACGGTTTCGAAGATACACAGTCTACCTCTTGTCTCAGTAACTAATACTTGTTACCACCAGCTCCACCCCACCCCCTTCTCACGCTTCGTCTGTCCTTGTAGTCCAGCGAGGGCCCCAAGGCTTCATTACAGCTCATTGCTGCGATGTTAACAGAAGTACGTCATCTCTGATGTCAGATTCTAGTGATTTTTACATTCTGCACAATAATCTCGAATGCTTACTTCTAACACCGACTATAACTACCT